ATGTTTTACAAATGTTAAATCAATATATTGTTTTCTGTAAATAAGTGAACAGGATAATTTTCACATCATTTTGTAGCAAAAACTCTAGTCTACCACATTCTCAAAAGTCTTGTGAACAAACGTTCTGTATGTGTTTTATGGCCTTATTTCAGTGACTTAAAAAAATTAGTTTTTCACTAACCATGCATAAACATTGTTTTCTCAAAAACACAAACATGTACTTTCATGCTGCTCACAAATTATTGTAGCCCAGTTTGTGCTGAATACAGTGTTATCAGACTTTAGCCATTAAAATTGTTTTAAGATACTGAAAAAAACACAAATGTCAGGGAATGCCAAAACTTCTCCAGGGCCCCAAAACACCCTCAGACCCCAGAGGGTTAAATGGCAAAAACTTTTGCTGTCATTGTTTCAACCTTAATGTAGGTTATGGTCCGTGTTTTACTGATGTAGAATTGTTTACAGTCTGTTTGGGTTCTTAAACGTTTAAGATTTTATATATAATTGTTAATTTAACTTTAATTAAGATACTGTAGTTATTTTCTTAATTTGTCATGACAGATGTTTGCATCATGACAACTTTATAAAAAAAAATGGCCACAATGTTTAAGAGGTTTTAAATAAACAGTAGCACAGTGTAGCGTAGTTTGTGATAATGCTTGGTATTTCTTTGGTGCTGTTAAAACCACCACAACAAACTTGTAGCTCTTTTATGAAATAGTAGTAAATCGCATTTTAAATCGCAAATCGCAGTTTTGATCAGAAAATTCGCAATTAGATTTTTTCTCCAAATCGTGCAGCCCTAGTAAGTGGGCTGAATTTAATAATGCACTCATTGTGGTTCTGACTCTGATGCCAAAAAGACCACCTCAGTATTACAGCATGCCATAATATTAGTAAAGGATTGTGTTTGCAATTATCAAAGTTAAAATCAATACCAATCATTGTCACCTAACATTATGTACTTCTGTTTGATTTTATTTATTTATTTTTCCACAGTACATCTTTGGGGAGTTCAGCCCAGATGAGTTCAATCAGTTCTTTGTGACTCCCCGCTGTTACGTCGAGGTAAAATATTTTCACACTTGAATGCACCTTGAAGGCACATGAAATGTTATGCTGTCCAAAGCCGTTTTTAACCTTTAGAGAAGTAATTACATTTACTTTATTGTTGTTTGTAATTGCCATTATTCTTCTAAATGTAATATAATTCTGTATTACCATAAGGATATTGTGGTGAGGTGGAGCTTGTTTTTTTGAGTTTAACCCTTTGACGCGTACGATCACACCGGTGTGATTAGAACTTTCAGTGCGTCACGTCATCAACTGCTGAATTTAAATGTAAAATAACATTGTATTTTGTATTTTCCACTTTTCCCTACTCGTGTGCAGCAGTTTAGCACAAAATGAAAATCTTCTACCCTAGTCAGTGTTTAATTTATACATTTGTTTCATTGCAAATTTAAATGGCAAATTTCAATGTGAAATTAAATGTGCAAATGTTGAATCATCTGAAGTTGAATTTGACACTACACTTTTGATGTCAGTTAATAATAATAATGGTACATATACGTTTACTTTAAATCTTGCTCCAATTTGTTACACAAGGTATGGGAAATGTAACTTAAAATATAGATACATTGCTGTCTTGCATGTTACATTGCCAATGTTATGCTACCATACTCTCCATCCACCTTTTTCCCCTCCTTTTCTTCTGTACAAAAAAGTCATTGTTATTTAGCACGCTACATCCTCTGTCTGTTTTAATTGCGAATTAAACTCTGGCCTTGCACTCCAAAGTACGCTATAAAAATTGTACCTGTGTTTAGTTCAGATAACGTGCTTTTAAATTTGTAGGTTAGAAAGGTTTGTTTGTGTACATGTACTTTTATTGACTTCATGTGTTTTAATCTCATGCAAATTTCTTATCAGCTTCCCCCATTCAATGATAAAGTCTCCTGTGTCAGCCATTCCTCAGGTAAGATCAAAGCCTCACTTGAATGTTGCTACAAGTATTGATTCAGAAGTAAATATGAGTTATAAATTATGAAATACTTAACAACAATTACTCCCACATGAGCACACACAATGGTTTTCGTGTATTATGCATTGACCATAGCTTACATCTTCACACATGGAAAACAAAATTCATAATATTAATTTGTCCTATTCACATCCTAATCCTAAATTGGTAGAATGGTCCTCATTCATCACGGAGTTGAATATAAACCTCCTTAGGCTATATGCCCATCTCTGTAGTTCTAATAATCTTTCCCGAGACAGTATCATATTGCCCTCTCAGGTAGTTGTGACCTTCACCCTCATCTGTATCAATTATTTAGGAGGTTACTGCACTCCTGCTGTGCCTTACATAACGGAATCATTGAGACGGCAGGTTTGCGGTGAGTTTTCGGTCCACTACACAGTGCCCTACTCTTCTGTTTATGTTGCAGAACTCAACACTCGGGTCTTAAACACTGACAGCTTTCTAAACCTTCCCCTTTTTCAACCTTTAAACCCTTACTTCTCATTTTTGCCTGTCCATTTAATCTTTGGAGCTTTGCATGCCTAGGTGCTGGCGTCTCTCTGGCGCATATATGCATCTACCTGCAGTGCTTGGAGTTGGCGGGAGACTTTTGACATTTTTATTTTTATTACTTTTCTGGAAATTCTCTTCCAAAACCCATCACATCTCGAGAGTGGACTGAGAATGTGACTTCATGGACCGTCTTTCAGGACCTCTAACTTAACCTGAAAATGTGGCAGTCTTGACAGTCCACAACCTGCTTATGAGTTCGTCCTTCATGCTTTCCTAAAATAAAACCTCTAAAATGAATACTAACAGAGGATGTGGTCTTATCTATTCATTTATCCACTGCTTGGGAACTTCTTCCCATGATGACTTCTGGTTGCTTTGATTTTGCTGATTACTGGCTACTTTTAAGACTCAAAGTCTTACAGTAATTGTGACTTGCATTCACTAACGCTGTTTCATTCACTATCCTTCACTGCTTAGTCTGCACAGTTCAGTACCACAGTCACTTCTTTTGTATCCTATCAGATTTGTTGTATTTGATTAATAACTACATGATTTGTTGTGAATACAACTTAGTTCATATTTTTAGCCTTTAGTATAACTTATTGAATAATCAAGTTAAGATTTGGAACTGGAAACTTGTCTAATTTAAAATGGAGAACTTCCCTGTGAAAATTCCAGTTTTGTTGTGCCTTTTTACATGTATGTCAATCTAACTGAGATGTTTTGATCTACAGGAGACGACTACCAGCATATCGAGTTTGGCGTGGATGAGGTAATGAATGCGGAGCCTGTGGCAGTGAAAGACTCACTGTACAAAGTCTCCAGCACTCTAAATCCTCAGGCCCCTGAGTTCATCTTAGGCTGCCAACCATCTCAGAAGGCCCTTCCAACAGCCACGCCAGTCGCTGATATCCCAGATGGCGCCGACTTCGACTCCCTATGCTGCAGCAACTCCGAGACCTCAGTCCTGGGCGGCCACCAGGCCTGCTCGGACATGGATGGGGTTTCGGGCGGCTTGGGGCAAAGGAAGAAAAAGAAAAAACGGCCGCCGGGATACTACAATTACCTGGAGGGTTCCAACAGCAACAGCACCGGTATGGCCACAGATGGAGTGGGGGCCTCAGGCCTGGTTAACGGACATGCGCCAAATGCTCCACTCCTGGGTTTAGAGGCCATGGTAGGGGAAGTGCTAGCTGGGGCTGAACTCATTCCCCCAAATTCTGTAACATCCAGCACATCCACACTCCAAACCGCCCCTCTTTCCCATCAGAGGACATGTGAAAGCCCTGACAATTTGACATTGGACTTGACGAGCGGAGCTGCCACTTTGCCAGACAGAAACGGTGCAGCTTCTTTGTCTACTTCATCTTCGTCCTCTCAGAGCAGCGGGGTGGCACAGAGTGCCAGGACTGCAGAGCAACATGCAGAACCCCCAGCTCTAGAGAGTCCAGTACTCCTGGGTAACGGAGGGCACAGCTCCTCTCCTCCATCTCCTCTTCCCCCTGCTGCTGCTGTGGCCACCCTCACAACCACAATTCCTGCTACTACTGATGAGAGGGAGGCCGAGGGCTCGGGCGAGGCTAACGGGCTGCCAGAGACTGCCTCGGTTGTCGGAGCCGCAGACGGACTCCAAGACCCAACTGAAATGGGCGAGGTGCAGTCAGCTTCCTCTGTAACCCCTCTCTCCTTAGACTCTGAAGTTCAGCTGGTAGTCTCGCCCGTTCCCACTGCAGCTGTCGCCAACCCCCCAAAATCCTGGGCCAGCCTCTTCCACAACTCCAAGCCTCTGCCTGGAGGTCCTCAGGCTTACGTTGAGGTGAAGAGTACGCTTGCTGTCGTCGCGCTCCCTCTGTCTGCCTCCGAATTGCCTGAAAAGACCAATGAGGTGCGCGAGGGCCCTATCCCTGTGTCTGAAGACCCTATGGCCCCAAAATTGGCAGGTAAAATGTGACATGAATATGTTAATGGTTTTAAGTCCATACCGCAAAGAATGTTGTATTGCACGCAACATGTCTATTAACTGGTTGTGCTCCGTAGTCATATCGTCCTATCGCCAGCCTGTGATATTGCAAATACATTTTAATTATTTACTTTGTTTCATTGCCAGAGAGTGAACCAATTCCAGGGTAAGGCTAAAAGCAGCCTAATGTTAGTGGAATCTATTAACTAGGGCTGCATGATTAATTGAATGTGATTGTCATGCGCATCTTGTCAGTAAAGCCGGTTCTGTAATCAGTTGTAAATCTCCATCACGTGCTTTCAGATGGAGCAGCATTTACTACACAGAGCCATAGTTCACTGACAAGCTACGCAAAATCGCGTTCATAATCGCAGACGATATAATCGTGCGATAATGAAAATTAAGAAATCGTTCTGCGATTATGAAAGCTGTGTGCGTATACTTTATTATAATAAACGTTATAATAAGATGAACTCCGATAAACCATATATTGTCGTAGTCGTGTGTTTATTAGTCAAGTCGAATCAATGAAAGCAGTTAAATCTTCTGTTTATTCAACAACTGCTATAGGGATTTCCTGATTTCTTCTGCGTGGCGTATTTGGAGTTTCCACACGAGAGCGCCCTCTGGCCTCGGATGAAGATTTACTGCTGATCACAGAACCGTGCTTCACTGAAAGATACGCATGACAATCGCAGCTTTTGCCTAATCGCCTTTGCGATTTAATTTCGATTAATCGTGCAGCCCTACTATTAACCACACATTATATCTTTTTAGTCAAGTAGCATATGGATGTCATGTCATAAAATATTTTTTATATGACTGAATTTGCATTTAACATAATTTAATAAAAGCATTCTAAGTTACTAATAAATATAATGCTTACATTTCCACAGTTATTCAAACAGCAGCTACAGAAAACGAGCAAGGAACATTTACATTATCAAAGAACATCAATGACATCAATCTAGCGCGAGTTTATGCACTTTTAAAAAAAACACTCCTGTTATAATCAGTGAAGCTATCTACACTGTATGATGAATAAATCTCTTATACTTACATCGTACGTACATCTGCATTTTGTTGTTTATGATGAGAGAATTTGCGAGAGAGCAGAATTCAGTCAGCGAGCGCGCGCACTCAACAAATCTCCGTTTCAGCCATGACTCTTCTGAACTCCTGGCCATTGCATTCATAAGCTCAACAGAATTGTGTGTGATTGGTTATAACGCTTAACATTAAAAACGTGTATAAAGTAATATGATGGAACAAATAAACCCTAATATTAATTAGATATAAAAATACTAGCCTGATAATTCTAATAATAATAATAATCGTCTTGATATTGTCAAAGGCATCAGCCACAGGCGATATCTCTGACTATCATCGATACATGATACTATTGTCTATCAGCACAACCATAAAGCAAATGCTTGCTTACTCATTTGCTTACAGGGATAGTTCACCCAAAAATTAAAATGTCATCATTTACTCGCCCTCATATTGCTTCAAATCTATGAAACTTTCGTTCATCTTCAAAACAAAAATGAATATATTTTTAATAAATTCTGATAGGTTTCTGTCCCTTTATTGAAAGTCTATTCCACTAAAACTTTAATGCTTCAAAAAGTTTGTAAAGACATATTAAAAATAATCTATATGATGAACAGATTTAATTTAGGCTTTTATTCTCCAAGTTTGGTCAATGCAAATTCATGGAGCAAATAAAATATTGTAAACAGAAGCTCAACAATACTTACAATGAGGTTTGTTCTCGTGTCACACAAGCACGTTTAAGCCTAGCTGATGTGTTGATGTATGTGCTTTGATCAATCAATTTATATTGATCTAAATTCTGTTCCTTTTATAAAGCGATCATGTCTTCAGAAGACTTGGAATAACCGCTTTATTCATATGGATTACATTTACTGTGACTTGATTAACGTTTGGACATGACAAAAGTTTGGGTGAGCAGACTTTCAATGGGGGGATAAAGATCTCTTAGATTTCATTAAAAACATCTTTATTTCTGTTTTGAAGTTAAGGATTCTTATGGATTTGGAGCAAAATGAAGGTGAATAATTGATGAGTTTAAATATTTGGGGTGAACTATTCCTGTTTTTTTTTTTTTTTTCAATGTTTCATATGGTTGACATGATCAAGGCCGCAGCATATTTAGACAAACCTTGGTTTAGGTAGAAATGTCCTAGTTATTAACAAGCTAACGTTTGTTTGCTGACATTTTAGATTATTTAGAATTTAAATGTTCAGTGTTGATCTGTTAAAATGGAATCAACTCTTAAAGAAATTTCTGAAAAGTTCACTCTCCTTGCATCAAACCATGTGCTATTTATTTCTGTCTTTAAAAAAATCTTCAAGCTGCTCTTTTGCCTACAATGACTATTTATAGTGACCGTCTGTCGAGGTCCAAAAATGACAAAAACACAATGAAAGTGGTACATTCATCTTGTACTGTATTCCACATGAATTTGGACATTACTACTGTCTTCACATACTGTTTTTTTTTTTTGTCTACTATATAGTAGGGCAGTATGTACTTTTGGATGCAGCCAGTGATCTCTTGCTATATAGAAGAAAGCTGAGTAAATGTTCCTTAGATTTCCCTTTTGTATTTCAGAAAAGCAAAAAATGTGAGGTTGGAATGACATGAAGATGAGTAAATAATGACAGAAAGTTCATTTATGTTGAAACTATTCCTTTTGACTCAGTGATTCATGTTTCTGTCCACAAGATGGCAGCAGCAGCATGTTTTGCTGATTTGCTGGCTGCACCCATAAGCCCCCTCTGTAGCTCCTAAACACTCCAGACAGGCTATTAGGACCTCTTTGCTCACAATTCTTTTAAAAACCACATTTTCTCATCCTGTTGCTCAAATTAATCATGGCATGTCTTCAAGTAAAGGCCCACCCAGGTGCTGTGTTTGCTCATCATATTGCTAACATTAATGCTCAGAATGAGAATTCATGGGAATCCCAGTCTGTCTCCATCTGAAGTACAAAAGCAGGGTGGTTTTTCATCCAGAGCCTGACTGCTGATTGGCTTACAATGGCTACTGCTCATTTTAAAACGGTGTCCTCCTGATTTCTTGATTTTGGAACCAATCACAAACTCTCCACTGCTTTAAATCCTTCTTTGGGTTTCCCCTGCTGTTCCTCAAATATGAGAAATCTTGCGCAAGAAAACGGTGATAATTTCAAAATATCAGACTTGTAAAACGACTGCCTGGTGTATTGTGTAGACTTGCCGTATTATGACTGGACACATTCTATTGATCTCAGCATTGGCTTATGTGCCACTTGAACATTCTAGACTCTTCTCCTGGGTAAATGCATGTTCTGTTGCATAACAGGAAGAGCGTCTGCTTGATTGATGGCATTTATGTGACTATTTCCGATGTGTTTTTCTTCAAGGCTGCTAATGGAGATGGTATTTATTAGGGATGCACCGATACCACTTTTTCCAGTACTCGC